AGCCACATCAGGCTATATCTGCTGTATCCACCGAGGGGAATCGAACCCCTGATTTTAGCATTGTAAATCCGAAGATTTACCGCTGTCCCACTGGGGGACAAGTGCATTTGGACTAGCTGTTCAGAATATTTTGAAAAAGAACCAAAGTATTCCATTAGAATTATCTGTGTGGGAAAAAAGTACACATTGTAGATTACATTACAGTCAGAATAAAGTGTGTCACACTACTGTGTTGATAATCAATGTAACAACATTGGAAAGGCATAGGATCTAAGACTGTGTCAGGGTTTAATAAGCCCGTTTCCTCCTTTTTTTTTTTTTTGAGAATACTTTGGTTATTGTGAAGTCTACAAGGAACATGTTGTTATCTTAAAGGGAGACTTTTGTTGTTGTGATGTCTACAACAAATGTGCTGCTATCTTAGAGGGAGACTTTGGTTATTGTGAAGTCTACAACAAACATGTTGTTATCTTAAAGGGAGACTTTGGTTATTGTGAAGTCTACAAGAAACATGTTGTTATCTTAAAGGGAGACTTTTGTTGTTGTGATGTCTACAACAAATGTGCTGCTATCTTAGAGGGATACTTTGGTTATTGTGAAGTCTACAAGAAACATGTTGTTATCTTAAAGGGAGACTTTTGTTGTTGTGATGTCTACAACAAATGTGCTGCTATCTTAGAGGGAGACGTTGGTTATTGTGAAGTCTACAACAAGCATGTTATCTTAAAGGGAGACTTTGGTTACTGCAATGTCTACAACAAACATGCTATTATCTCAAAGAGAGACTTTGGTTATTGTGATGTCTACAACAAGCATGTTGTTATCTTATAGGAAGACCTTGGCTATTGTTAGAGAGAAACTTTTGTTATTGTGGTGTCTACTACAAGCATGCTGTCATCATATAGGTATACTATATATAGTTGTCATATTGTCATACTCCAAACAGTTTATTTAATGTACAGGTTTCTAATTTGCTCCAGGACAATTCTTATAATGAGACAACTTATTGTTTTTAGTTTTCCCAAAAATAAATAGTAGATTAATTATTGTGATGGTAAAAATATTAATATTTTATAATTAATAAATCTCAATGTAAGAACACTATTGCTGTTGTGTTTAGCAATCTTAATTGTAATATTCATTGCTACTATAGCCAATGTCTTTGTTTGTATTGACTTTTTTTTCAGTAAAGAACGTTAATACTAACTAATATTTCTCTCTGTTATAGTGCCAACCCAGACCAGCTCCATGAAGTCACCATGGACAACCAGCCAGAAGTTTTCTCACCTACAGGCAAGTTTAAGAGCTTTTACAGAAATATTTCTGTATATCTATCCCAAGCCGACAAACTAAGGCATTAATGAAAAAAATCCTCCACAACCTTTTTTTTCATAAAGCAGAAATTACTGGGTTTGTTGTAATTCTCAGGAAAATGCAGACCTTTGTAGAACACATATTTTTATGATGAAGTACAATTTGTTTGTTATTATTAGAATCTCCAGAAATATGAAAAGATCATTTATATATTTATATACACACACACACACACAATTATTTCACAAATTAGTTACTGAGGATATGCTAATACTTTGACCTACATTCAGGTTAGAGGATTATTCTCCAAAGCAAAAAATTTTCACTGGATGATGCTGTCAACAATGAAATTTCATCTTGAAATAATTATCTTAGGGTTGAAGTAATATGATGGTGAGGTTGTTGTTTACTGAGCTAAATTATTAAACTAAGTGATTGATATCAGTGAAATTATGTTTTTTTTTTTAGCAAGCCCTAGGGGTGCCATCATATCCCCAGTGCGTGCTAGGACTATCAAGGAATATGATCAATTTTCAAATAAACCTTGCTTAAAACAATACAAAAATATACCTTAAATATCTTGCCAATTATAATAAAAGAGAGTCAGTCTCTTTATTAATCAACCAACCTGCATGTTCATCAGAGTATTTTATATGAGTTTATCATACCACAGTTAGCACTTATGGTAGTTGGATTTTATTCCAACTCGAACAAAGCGACAGCCTGGACATCCTTCAGATATCGTCCAGCGCTTTTTCTTATAACTATTTTACAAATTTACAAAAATATATTCAGATGCTTTAGTTTGAAGTCTACTTTTTTTTACTCTTAACATGTAATTAAGCTTAGTGGTATTTAAAAAAACCCTCCAATTTCTTATTATTTTAATAAAATGGAGCTTTTTCAATCTCTTTTTTTTTCAATGATTCTAGCTTTATTGTTTCTACCATACTTAGTGAAAAGACTTATATATCTGCACCTCTATAAATATTACTGTTGCAGTTCCCCCCCACATCTCTAAAAGGACCCAAACTGTATACTTACTTTCAATGTATACCAAATTCATTAATTATATAACACATATGTAACCAAGAAATCATTTGATGATACACATACATAAAGTTTTCTAGCACGTCTCTGAAAAAATGAAATGCTGTTAAGCATTTGCATGCTTTCATAATTTAATCTTCAAACACTTGATGTATAAAAATATATCTTTTGGAAACTTTGAAATCAATTTAAAGCTTCCTACTACTTAAATAAAAATGGCTTCTGAAATGCATTCCTGCATAAAACATTTTTTCAACACAGCTTCATGTATTTGTCTAAGTAGATGATTCTGTTGATATAAAGTCAAGGCTATATGAGTGCATTCTTTCCAGGAATGACATCAAAATGTACAGCTGGTATGACCTTATCTATGACCTTGAAAGTAGATTTTTTGCTTCTCATGTTCTTGTAAACTTAATAAAGATATATTTTTATCGAGAGGTAGTGTAAAATATTTTTCACCTTTTTTGAATATAACAGGAAGCATTTTTTTTGACTTGCATAGTTTATTTGTAAACTTCATGTTAAACTACATGTAAAGTTTCTAAGATATACTTAATCTGTCAGGTTTCGTACTCATAGTAACGTAAAAAAAAAGAGAGTCTAATTTTTATATGCATATCCCTATTGTGTAGTTATTATTCTAATAGTTTTAAAATTTTTCACAGCAAATAGCAGACCTCAGGAAAGAAAATTTCAATCTGAAATTGAAGCTTTATTTTTTAGAAGAAAAAATGGAGAAAAAATTTGATGGAGATAGTAAAGAACTCCACAGAGTGGTGAGTGTGTACCTGTTCTTTATCTTGCTAGCTTTATTATATAATAACTGATAATTTTACGAAACCAGTAAATCTTCCTGTCAGTCGAGCACAGTCATGCATTTCATTTTGAACAAGGTGTCATTATTGTCCTTAATTTTGAAGTAATTAACTTCTGATGATTGGAAACCTTTAAATTTTTATCATATACATTAAATAATCAATTGAAAAAAGTATTCTGGAATCGTACATTTTTCTCATTTCCTGTTGTTATTGTAAGTAATAATAATGATGAATATGTGCGAATATCCTAAATATACTAAATAATCACATTAATGTGTTCTTACATATCTTGTTTTGAGGGTCATCTTCCTAGTCTGCCGTACAAATACTGTATTAGTTCAATAATTTTTCTCAAAACTTAAACTGATAAGATAGAAAGTGTATGTACTAAACCTTCATATTTATTTCAAAACGAATAGTTAAGGAACTTAATTCTGAATGGATAAAAATAAAAAACAACTTTTTCATATCTGTGGGTGAATTTCAGTTGGTCATCTGTACTGGGAAATGTTTTTACAGGCAGTTCTGTGTACTAGTGTACTGTGTACAATGATTAACAGTAACTTTATGTTATTAAACCATTTTAAAAAATCATGGAGGGATTGGGAAACATATTTACATATATCCCCCTGCAAGTACATATAATGCGTACCAGCAGAAAAATTTCCAGAAATTCATTTCCGCTACTGTCTATAATGGAAGTTTATCTAAATTTAGAATGTATTACAATTAGTGTTTTTACAATGTTTGTAAATTTTATGATTCATAAAGTTTAGCAGTACCAGCATTCAGGATATATACAGAACTTAGAGCTCATGCAGTTATTCAGTAACAATATTTACAACGTATATAAAGTATATTAGAATCAGTATTGAAAATATTTGTAGAACCTACAACTCACAAGGTTTATTAATGTTGGTATTCACAGTGTTTCTAGAGCTTCCAACTCGTAAAGTTCAGTAATATCAGTATTTGCAGTTTTTGTAGATGATGTTGTACAGGTCGTAAGGTTTATCAGTATCAGTTCCACAATATTATTTTGGAAATTTTTACTTGGTAGGTTCTAACATTATCTTTTTTTTTTTGTACTTTTTGTGATGTTAAAATCAGGCATTATAATATTTTTCAGAACATAAAGCTTCAAGTTGATGTAGCAACTCTACATAAAGAACTCGAACAAAAACATAAACTTTTACAGGATGCATTGTAAGTATGCTGTAATTTACTCAAGTACGTACTATACGGGAAAATATTTAACAACCTTATTTGTTATATTTGGTTCTTAAAAATGAGCAAATATTATTGAGTCTTGTATAATGATGACTCATTTAAAATTCATTGGAATAAACCAAGCAACTCTGATATCAATAATAACTTCATAGCATTCATGACCTGTTTGTTAGTCATGAAATGTTTTTAATGGTAAAGTTTTAAGACTGAGAAATGAATACTTACATAAACAAGATTTGAAATATGTCTTGCTGCATCATTAATACAATCATCGTTTTGAAAAACCAAATCTATTTCCAATTTGAAAGGAATATACAATTAAGAATATTTCTGAGATCTCTAAACAACTGTCAGATTTAATATGTACAGTTTATCTGTATTTAAGTAACATTTAAACCTGAGATGTGCTTTATTTCAGATGGGAGTATCTTTAGTGTGTGTGTGTGTACACATACGTACATCAGTATTCTGTACTCTGTGTGTGTATGTATACATATGTACGTCATGGTACATTGATATGTTGTACTGTGTGTATACATACATTCATCATGATACATCAGTATGATGTACTGTGTGTGTACATACATATATTATGATATATCAATATGTTGTACTGTGTGTGTGTATACACATATGTACATCAGTATTCTGTACTGTGTGTATACATACATTCATCATGATACATCAGTATGTATGTTTGTATGTGCAGCATGAATACAAATCTTTTCATTTTATTCTATTTTAATCAGGTTAAATTATATCATTAGTTTTCTACACATATTTGTTCATATTCAAGGAAAATACGCTTGGTCTTGGATATGTTCTTAATTTTTTCAAATTATAATGTTTGTATTAAATTTTTATTTCATGACAGAGGAACCCTAGAGAAGTTAGAATACAACCACAGAAAGGAAATGGAAGAACTAAAGAAAAAGACCAATGATAGGAAAACTCAGCTTCAAGGAGAAATAACAGTATTTGAACAGGTAAGTTTATAGTGTTCATATTTTCAGTTAATCCTGATTAGAATAATAATCGCAAGCATCAGTTACACCTAATAATCTGTGATAAATGTTTATCAGACAAGTACTTGAAGTACTTTGAATTACGGGCAACGCTAAACAAGGGCTACCTGCGCTAGCCGTCCCTAATTT